AATTAATTTAATCTTAAACTTTTAGGGTCTTCAATTGTAATATCAAGTCGCACGTGGTTTTAAGTATGTCTTTATTCCTTCGCTTTTTATAATCAACACTCCATATTTTATTCTCGATATTCACATCTTATTTTCTTCCGTTCGCGTTATTTTTTGTCCCCACTTCGACGTATATCTCGCTGACTTCAATTTTGTTTGAAAGACATTTAATACATTCAACAATAATTTTTTTGATTCTGAATTATTTTGTTTTTCAGAATAAATTAAAAAATCCAAGAAAATTAAAAAACGATATTCTTTCTCCATTTCTTCTCCTTCATTCTTGATGAATGATGAATGGGTGAATTTTTTATCAGAAACCAAAAATGCAACTGCTGCCAAACTATACATATTATCACATCATATATTTTATATTGAGAAAAGGAAATATACTGACGAAAGAGAGAACAGATGAATATTGTGTAATCTTTGTGATGACTAAGTCACGTATGAATACAGTCTGGTAGAGTCATGGAAAAAAGATAGACAAAATATACATAAAGATAAAATTAAATCGAGCATGAACAAGATACAAAGGATATGCAATACATACACATACATGGAATAAAGATAAACATGACCGATAATTTAATCTTTTGTCTTAATTTTTCAGAGTTTTAATTAATTCTATTATATTGCATTTCAAATATATTGAATTTCAATTGAAGTGTAATTCAATTATATTCATGATTAGAACAATTAACAATTAAATTAATTAAATGGTTTGAATTATGTAATACTATTACAATGTAATTCATTTAGCATAACTTTGATATTGATATTAGCTCGAACTTGAGCAGATGTCTTTCTTCCTCAAAACGAAGAAACTAAATTTTATTCTTGGGTTTAATTGCTAATTTATGATAGTATAAGTCTGTTACAAAAGTCTGTTATTTTATCATTTACTCTCGAGATAATAAATCTATCCAAAACTAGCAATTAATAAAAGATTAATCAATTGCAAATAGGATCCATCGTATATGAACACGCTCTTCATTGTCGTCCGGATGACCGATGTCAGTTAATCAATCATTCGATGTTATCGACATTCATTTAAGACGAGACCTTATACGATTTAATCTCATTGTCTTGTTTCTAAAACCTCCTTAAAAAGAAATATGCAAATCGAAATAGTTAATGGTATCACAACCATATGTTAAATCTTTATGTACGCTTATAGGCAATTTTATGGTACTGTCGTCGAAGTTCCACTTGCAAATCAGTTTTTGATTCCTATAATCACCAATATTAATAATTTTAAAAAGCTATCAAAATAGTGATGTTTGTACATTTTTTCTTCATAGATATTTTTGTAATATGTAGATACTGTTGAAAATAAAAATTGTTTCATCTATTACATCCTGTAGTATAATTCAACATGATCAGTTATTAGCCAGACCATGAAGTCTTTATCAGAGATTGACCTTAACCGTTTGAGTTCCAAAACAATCGAAAAATCCCAAGCAGCGCAATAGTACTTGTTTAATTTTATGTTGAGAAATACCAAACAGCGCGATAGCACTTCTTGCATGAGGTAGGTAACGTGATTCTCGTATTTTTTTCATCGCTCCGTCACATTTATTGCAGTTTGCAAAGTGATCGGACATATTCTTCAGTTAATAATTCTTTTCATTATTGTGAAAAGTTGATTTAGATTAACTGTTTAACTTTTCTAAATTTTGTTCATCCTCAAAAAGGTACAATGAATCAAAAAAGAAAATCTTTAAGCACAAACACAAATCCATGTGATCATATTATCGTCGATGATGACGACTGCATTGTTGATGTAAAGTGCAAAAGACAACGCATTTTGAGCACTTCGGAGGATAGCGATACTGATTTATCGAATCAATGTTTATTCAACAATCTACCAGTTGCTGAAGACGTTTCGAATCAATATGATTCTCAAGAGCCTAGCGAAGTATCTGATTTGCAATCTAACTTCCCTAGTCAGAGTAAACCGATTGAATTTTTCGAAGTATTCTTTGATTCGACACTATGGGAACTAATAGTTGAAGAAACGAATAAATACGCGGAGTATTCAAGGTTTTCACCTAAAGAATTAGAATCCTTTGAAAGAGAGATTTGGACACCTGTTACCGTTTTAGAAATGAAGGCATTTATAGCAGTGTTGTTGGAAATGGGAATTACGAGAAAACCTAATATACGTTTATACTGGTCTGAAAATTCCCGTAATATACCGTAGTTTCGAAGAATGTTTTCTCGAAATAGATTTCAACAGATTTTAAAATATTTTCACTTAGTAGATAATTCTTTATGTTTTTCACCTGGTCACGCGAAATACAATCCCTGTGCAAAATTTAAGCCACTGGTTGAACATACTAACAAGGTGTTCAAATCACATTATACACCACACAAAGAATTATTAATTGATGAGTCGCTAGTTGGGACGCTGTGTCATTTTAGCATAACGCAATATTTACCAAATAAAAAGCATCATCGTTGGGGAATAAAATTCTGGATGCTGTGTGACTCCGTTTCGAAATATTGTTTAGCGTTCTCTTGCTATAAAGGTGCAAAAGAAACAATTTCTAGTAATAGAAGAAAGTTTGGACTTGGGTACGATGTCGTGGTGAATTTACTAAAAAATAGTAATTGTTTGAATAAGGGGCATCACATTTTTGTTGACAAATTTTTTTACTAGCGTAGAATTAGCTCGCTATTTATATTCTATGGACACCTTTTTAACTGGAATAATTAGAAGGAATAAGAAATGTATTCCCGATAACTTGAAACAAACTAACGTAAACGAGGTAAAATATTTTCGAAACAATGAAGTATTATTCTGTGCGTATCGCGAAAAGAAGAGTATAAAAAGCTGTATTACTAATTTCGACGAAAGCAGAAGAGCAAGATGTGACTATAACGAAAAATCGACATGGCAGAGAAATACATTCCACAAAACCCGCTATTATTCAATCTTATAATGCCTTCATGGGTAATGTCGATCAATCCGATAAAATGGTGTATACCTATCTCGATGAACGAAGATCAGTTAAATATTGGAAAAAGCCTTTCACATAATCAACCGCACGGTTTTAAATGCATATATAATTTACAAGGAAATAGTTAAGAGCAAAGCAATATCTCGGTTAGATTTTATATCAAATATTATTTTTGAAATTGAGTGTCACTGGATGAGCGAAAAGCAATCACATAGTCATGTAAAAAAAAAACATTTGGATTAGTAAAGTTGCCACACCGTAACCTGCGACAATGCGTAGTCTGCAGCACCAAAAATGCAATAAAAAGATCACATTTAATTTGCGTGCAATGCAGAAAAGGAATTCATCCAGTATGTTTTGATAAACACCAATGTTACAAATTATAAGTGTTACTCTCTATTTAACTTGTTTGTTTATAAATATTTCAAGTTTGTTCAATAAAAATTATTGAGAAGATAAAATAAAAATTTTTATTTTATAATGTATTATTGCATTATTATAGTACTATTCTACCTATTGTAAAAAGTACTATTTACGTTAAAAAGAGCTTTGTGATGTACTTGCGTCAGTAAATCTAAGCGGTCGACTTTGACAATCCGTCGCGCACCATCAATTGTCCACAATGCTCGAAATACGCTGGGTTTTCTCGACATAAAATCTGAACAGTGCGATCGCGCTGCTTGAATCTCAAACGGTTAAGGAAGTGGGGCAAATTATTCTTCATAAGCATCAAAATTCCCGGCGAGATAATCGTGGATGGCTTTTGCAAAGTATGTTAGTATTCCCGATTTCATCATTTTCAGAAATTATATTCGAAACACTACTGGAGTTACCGTCGAGGAAGACAATTGAGCGGCACAATTTTCTGTCTAAACATTAAAAGTATTTTGTTTTGCTAAAACTTACATATTGTATTTTTTTTCTATAAAGACATTAGATAATTCAGGTTTTATGTAAAGAACAAATATTTTTTTTATAAATTTTACATTGCAAAGATTTTCCGTCATCCACAAAACTTCTATCTCTTTCTATTACATCAAACCAACAAAAAACGTTTAGTTTTTCTTACTTTGGGCATATCGTTAATTTTTTATATAAGAAACTCTTTTACTGCGGAATATTATAATCTGAAATGCTCCACGCAGGCCACATGCGGAATACTTCTCCGCATAGTGTTGATCTGTCGATCTATCGGTCGATTACATAGTGTGCAATTAAGTCATTATTTTATTTCTTTATTTATTTCAAATAACAATTAAACATTTTCATTTTTTTGCAAATATACTAGTTATTGCAAATATTGAAATTTTTAAAATAATTTTTTAATTATAATAAACTTAAGTATTTGAAATCGAGAAGTGAAACAAAACATTGAGAATTACATGAATACTTTGCATGTATACTGACATATATATATATTTTATATTAGATTGAATCATAAATAACTTCCGTTTTTTTTTATTAGACATTTATTTTTCTTTCATTAAATAATAAAATTATATTAATTTATTATGTATTCACTGCTATTATATATGACTTTATCCCATCTTCCTGAAAGTTTATCAATTCTTCCCTTGTAAAATGTAGTTGGTTTGGACTGGAAGAAATTTTCGATAGCCTGACTGATTTGTTCTTCAGGATTGAAGGTTTTTTCATTCAAAAAGTTTAGTAAAGAACAAAAAAGATGGTACTCTGTCGGGGCAAGGTCCGGGGAATAAGGTGGGTGTGGTAAAACAGACCATCCAAACTCAAGAATTTTTTCTTAAGTTATCCTTGCTGTATGTGGTCGCGTATTGTCGTATAAAAGAATAACGTTTCTGCTGAGCGCTTTTTATAGAGTTTCTTTTTTACTTTTTGCAACTGCTAAACATATGTATTCAAAGTAATCGTTAAATTTGATTTCAACAACTCGTAATGAATTATACTTCGACAATCCCACTATACACTCAATAAAATCTTTTTTCCATAAATGTTTTGTTTTCAGATGTGGTAGGGATGATTGATCCTTATCAAGCTTTTACGGACGATATTGCCATAGGTAACTCATTTTTCATCGCCTGTTATAATCCTGCCTAAAAAAGACTCGATTTTTACCCGTGAGAGTAGATTTGTGGTAATTGACATGCGACGATCTTCTTTATTTCGTTCACTGAGGTACCCATATTCCTAACTTGCTGACTTTCTTTAATGTCTCCAGGTGGCGGCAAACAATGATAGAGATCTATTCAACCTTTCTGCTATATCTCTTGTTGATAAACATGAATTTTACTCCAATATTGCCTTTAAAAGGTTATAATCAAAGTCGGAAAGACGTCCCGTTCTCGGTTCGTCTTTTATGATCGTATCTCCAAAATACTTATTTGGCAAATCAATTTCTAACCTCCTGATCTGTTATTACTTCACCGTATATACTGCATATTTTTTCAGCTGTCACCTTAGTATTAGGTTGGAAACTATGAAATACCTATTTTTTACTCATCTTGATCTATTGATATCTTGCTGATCTATTTCTATCTTCTAATATATCTTATTTGATCTTACAATAAATTTCTTACATATTAAAACAAATACCAATATGATACCAAAATCTCGGAAGATGTTGGTATTCGATCACTGGAATCAAATTTGTTATATATATCCTCTAATCTCATTGTATAAATCTCGATTTGTTCCTTAAACAATTGTTATTCACATCTTTGAGCATCTTCGATCTTTCTGATAGACTACTTATAATGTACATGTTATATGGATAAAAAATAACTTATATGTGAAAGTGGCTACTTGATGAAAATAAGAAGAAAGATTTTTTTAGAAAAATTAGTCTGGTAATTACTAGGTAATATTATTGAAAGAAGTGATACAACATTTGAAACTTAAGAAATTTTATTGCATCAGCATATAGCAGTAGTCATTGAAAAGAGTGGCAGAAAATTGAAAAGAAACAGAGAATATGATACAAATTTCCGAAAACGTACTAGATGTTGCATTTATATATGTAATGATAATAAGTATAAAGAAACATGTAATAAACGTTCAAAATATGTTTATAATATTCATGGAATATAGAAAACACCTAGATTGTGTGTGAATTATTACGAATGAAAGTTAGTAAATGTTATGTTTCTGTAAAAATGCATTCGTTTTTCCAACTATAATACAGTAGAACATCGGTTACCTGGATCAATATTGACCACATGTGGCAGTCAGAGATAAGCTAGAATATTAATACATTATTGTCAATTGATCTTTACTCTATAAACCAGTATACCGAAACGTAAGCGTAACATTTTATCAATTCAAACGAAACGTGAAATACTAACTAGATTAAATAGTGGTGAAACAATAATTGAAATGTAGCATCTTGTGGAATTAGAAAATCAACAGTTTATGGTATTAAAAGACGAAAGTATGAAATTCTGAATTACAATAAAGTTTCACACTAAAGTTTCATAGTGAATTCATCACAGTGCATAAAAAAAAGTATGAAATCTGCTAATATTAGGTTGGAAACTATGAAACGGACGTTTTTTGTTTAGTCTGTGTTCAGCTGCGACTAAGAGAGATACATTGTAACGTGCGCTCGATATTTTAATTTATAAAGCTTAAAGTCATTCTTCTTACTCATTTTGTAAAATTTTTTCGTGTTTGTATCCCATTTTTATTTTATTTTTATCCTAAACCAGATGAAAACAAAACGCGATTTACATCTACTCTTCTTGTACGAGTTTAAATTAAATCATACCGCAGCTCAAGCTTCAAAAATATTAATCAGGCATTCGGAGATGGATCCATCAATGAAAAAAATGCTCGATATTGGTTCCAAAAATTTCGTTCTGGCAATTTGAATATCGTCAATGAGCCTCGAGGAAGACCACCGGCCCATATTGATAACGAAGAATTAAGGACGACTGTGGTATCCGATCCACACACAACTAGTCGAACACTTGGGTCTAAACTAGGAACTAGTCATACAGCTGTGTTAAAATATTTGCGTGCAATAAATGAAGTCAAAAAATTGGACTCATATGTGCCGCACAAATTGACGCAACTGCAGATGATCGACTGCAAAAGCAAGAGCGCATCTTTGTTGCTTCACAATACACGATTGCCATTTTTACACTAAATCATCACTTGTGATGAAAATCGGATTTCGTATGATAATCGAAAACGATCAAGCCACTAGGTAGATAAAAATACACCCCCAGGACATACTCCGAAACCGAAATTTCATAAAAAAAAAATTATGGTCACCATATGGTGGAATGCCCAAGGAGTGATCCATTATTCCTTTCTACAACTAGGCGAAGCTATAACAGCGATGTCTTATTGTCATAAAATTGATGTCATGCATGAGAAACTTATGAAAAAACAACCAGCATTGCTCAATCAGCACGACGCAATATTACTGCATGATAACGCACGATTACATAAAGCTTCAATTACTGTTGACAAATTAACTTCTCTACAATATGAAATTTTACCACATCCTCCATATTCATCCGATATTTCACCGATCGATTATTACCTTTTTCGTAATTATGTATTATTTTTAAGAGAAAAAAATACAATAACCAAAATGATATTATAAAAGACTTTGAATTATTTATTAACTCTAAAAATAAAGATTTTTTTCAAAAAAGCATATATGATTTGCCCAATTGTTGACAAAAAGTTGTAAATGGAAATTATTTCAATTGAATATAATAAATAATGTGAAAAATTGCGCTTTTCGTTTTTTATTTTCATTCAACGCCCGTTTCATAGTTTCCAACCTAATACTATTGCCTTATTTAATTTCCCAAAGCATCACATGACAAATATGCTTTCACTCTCCATTTAAATAGTCTCCGAAATTTTCTATATGTGAATTTGAATCTAAATTAAAAAAAAAAGTTATAAATTTTTCGTTTTACACCTTATCTTTATCCCGTTATTAATACTGTTCTTCATATCTTTGGAATCATATGGCAATTGAACATATCGGCGCGTTCTCTGTAATTGTATTTCAATCTGTATTTCATCATTACAATCCTCATTCAAATCGGATATTTTATTCTTCACTCTCATCTTTTGTAACAAGTTCTTCAAAAATACTGAACATTTCTAAGATATTACATTATATATAATATAGATTAATATATAATATAATTAAGATATTATATTATATATAATAATAAATAATAAAATAAAAATTACTTGCATAGCAAATGTAATATGATGATGTGTTGCAATAATTAACAACTTACGTCAGTGGAGGAAGTGACTATTTAACCTTTTCGCTACGGACGCATTCTCCGGCACGCTACACCCGCTGAAAGAGCCGCCGCGCCAAAAGTGTGCACTTACGGAATAACTGTAATCGTCCGTCATTCGTTCAATACCGCGGCATCTTATGTAGAGCAAGTGTAGTCGCTCGTAGAAAGGAAAGGATTAAAAAATTATCGCATAATACAATTAGAAAATATGTTCCATGTTCATATCCATGTTCTCTGTCACATATGAATCATACCTGTGTATACGATTGTATCTAGTACGTAGCCTGTTTTACAGTTGCATAATACGTACGTTTTAATATCAAATCGGCTTCTTTTGGCTGGTATATACTGTTTAAAAGATAATCTGCCCTTGTATAATAAAAGACTTTCATCTATGCATAAATTTTGAAAAGGATGAAATGAGTTTTTAAACGATTTTTTAAGTCTGCTTGAAACGCTGCTAATTTTTTGCAAACGATCAGAAGATTTTAAATTATTTTCAACAAAATGTAACATTTTCAATAAAACTAAATATCTATCTCTGCACATAATTTCGCTAAAAATATCAGTTTGTAAAAGTTTATCTCTAGACCAATACTCACTAAGCCGTAATTTTTTGTTTCTCAACATTAGTAACGTACATGTAAGAAAACAGTACAGCTCGTCGACAGTTCTACCAATTTTGATGTTACGCATGTCATCATTTACTGTACGTGCCCAATAGTTATTTGTCTTATCCACAATAAAGTCCACAAGATCAGGTGAAAAAAATAATAAAACTAATATTGCAGAGGAGAAATTTATGTTGAAGTCTGAAGTCCAGAATTGGAAGTATTAAAATTGTGAAATGTTAATTCAACATTCTCCATAGCCTATTGGATATTATTAAAAATAGTTGATAGCAAAGCATCTTCGATGTAATCATCTTCTGATTCTGACGTGCTAAGTACATTTTTCCGACGGCAATGCTGATTGCCTTCTTTCTAGTACAAATATTATTTATTGCAGTATCGCTATCGGAGTCCGATAATTTATCGCACATCTCGTTGCTCTCGTTTTCGATGGAGTAATAGTTTCCTCTCCTCCTTTTTTAATTCGTATTCATTATCTTTGAGATGTGAAAAATAAACGAAAAATATAATAAAATGAAATGATGTGAAAAATACAAAAAAATTAAACCGCATACCGTGCAAATATTTCGAACTGTGCAAATATTGTAAGCGAACCTAAACAAATGTACTGCCGAAATGTTATTTTTATATTGCTGTTCATTTTGTCAGTCTAAAATTTCACAGCGTAAAACAAGTGCAAAATGCTTGCGATGGATAACCAAGGAGATAACATATTCACTCACGAAGGTTCACGGGTGACTTAAGTCACCGTTCGTACACAGCGAGCGTCAGGCGTTGGGTGACTTGTCACCGTTAGTAGCGAAAGGGTTAAGAAACAGAAAGTAAATATTCAACACTTTCGTTTTTTCTTGTTACTATGCAACCAAGAATATGTTCATCTTAAACATTAATGAATGTTGCCTATCCTGGTTGTATAAGATAGAAACAATTGCCAACCGTACATATGCGTTCATAGTCTACACCAATAGTTTTCATCGGATGCGCATGTATATCCATATTCCAAAAGCCTTCACCGGACGCATATATGCATCCATAACAACCCAAGGATTAATATATTAGAATCAATGAATTTGACTTTTGGTATAAAATGTTTTATTCGAATTCGTTTTCGCTTTTCTAATACTTATTTATCGTCCATCAGTAATCACATAGGCGGTCTGAAAAATTTCCGACCTAACAAAGATACAAGAAATTTTTTCATCAAATTTATTTTTATTTTTATATATAGTCTCTTTATAAGGCTACACATTTCTCCCAGCGATGCTGCCGATCCCTTTAACCCGTCCAAATAGTACTCGGCGTTTTTCTCTGCGAAATAATTGTTTACGAAAGTAATGAACTCCTCATTCGACGATAATCTTTTTTATATAAGCGCAACTTTTAACGTAAAGAACATAAAAAAGTCACTTGTGGCTAAATCTGGTGAGTAAAGAGAGTGGTCAAGCAGTTCAAATCTTAATTCGTGGATTTTCGCCATGACAAACGTTGAGAACAATGGGAAAAAAATTTTTCATTATGGTTTTCTATTATGATTACCGATAAAGATGTAGTGAACGCCGTTTTTGCGGGTGGTCAGTTCAGATTGAAAATAGGTAGCAAAAAAGGCATTTGTTTGATATCATAATATATGTGAAACTAGTTGCCTGAAGAAGTTGATTCAGATCAATTATGTATTCACATTATGTTCTATTCTATAAATTTAAAGGAGTCCGGCACGGACTTTTGCAGGAAATGTAATATCCTTGTGCAGGCATTTCGAACTAAAAAAAAGACATTATATATGATTTCAAGTATACAGACGGAAAATATGGTTGAAGTCACAAGCCCAAGAACAAACAAGACTGTGAAAAAACCGACCTGTATTGTCGAATATAATAAGTATATGAAGGGCGTAGACCGTGCAAACCAATACTTGTCATATTACTCAATTTTATTAAAAACAAAGAAGTGGACGTAGAAAATTGTGCTATATTTTATAAATGCAGCCTTGTTTAATGCATACCAAATTTATGTTACATGTTGTGAACATATGGTTAAACACGAAGATTGAAATGGAGGAACCAGAATCAGGTATAACCAATAATTATATAATTTGCACATATGGCACTAGCTATTCTTTTGGTCTAGGACCTTCTTCGATGTATACCCCAAGAGCTCCAAAGTGCGATTCGGTAGACAGATTGTGTCTGGAAATGCGGAACCATAAACCGCATCGTAGAAAGAGGGAAAATAAAAAACCCGCGAAGACCATGCAGAATATGCTCCGCATAAAAAAAAAGAAGCTCATCTGCATTTATGTGCTCCTCATGTAGTGTTCCGCTGCACGTTGGACTGTGCTTTGAAAAATATCATACAAAATCAAAATACTAAACTAATTGTTTAAAAACCAGTACGCCGAGTAATTATTATATGATTACATTTTTATTTATTTTATTTTTATATTTAATATTATATTTTGTATATTTATATAGTATAGTACATTATTATTATATTTTAATTTATTATATCACTGTTATATGATACATTTTGGTTATTAAATACTGTTAATCGATGAATTATGTGACAGTATATCGCCTGCATGCCTTCCTCAAAAGCCTGCCAATTTGTCACAAAGCTGACAAAATGTATTGGCAGCAAGCGCAACTCTTTTTCCGAAACGTGCGGCAAAAAATCTATTGTCAATTGAAGTTATTTCTACTGAAAAGGAATCATATTTATTAATATATATAGATTCCAATATTGACATGAATAATGTGAGAAAGTATTTTTTTCGATTTACTTTTCAATGAATTGAACGATTGCTTTCTGAATTTTCCTATAGAATTGGATTACTACTGTTGAATTACATGATCGAAACGTATAACGATTCTTTTTTATTTAATAATCGATAAAGATCAATCGATTAAATTTACTTGATAAGCACAAAGTTGCTTAGATACAGCTAGAAAATGACACTTGACACATTTCTTCATTGAAACTAGATGCCAATCAACTTTTCTCAAGACTTCAGATTTGGAACCATAAAAACTCTATATATCTCCAAACTGTAATAATTATTTTATAAAAGCTGTTATACAAAGTAAAAATAGACTCGAAATACCAACTTACAATTGTAACGACAGGGCTTATAAAATTTTGATGCATGTAATAAAACGGAAGAAAATCTGAACGAATTCTTTGGAATATTCTAACTTCTTTTGTAATTTAATAACTGTTAAATCGTTCAATTTTGTCTCATATTTCGGATGTACGGGATCTGTCAGATAACTATCCGACCTTGTACTATAGCAGGAGAAACACCTAAGTTTGACTAATGGCAACGATATTCCTTTTAAAGTATTCCTCTTGAGGTTACAATCTTCTCTCCTCGAGAAGTTACAAACTCCTTCCAGTGATCCTTCCATTTTCGGACACTCCTTAGATTTAAATTTCCGAGCCGGTACTTTATGATGTACTCAAGAACCAATACTCAGCGTGCTATTCGTACACACGTTCCTTTTTTTAATTGTGAGCGTAAACGCTCAGCAATTTGTGACAATGTATTCCTAGTAGGTAAACCCTGAATTTTTGCAACGCTCTTATTATCGCAAGCACCTCTAATTCATAACTCGCGTATTTATTCTCTGCAGATATCGTTCGTCCGCTCACATAATATATCGGGTGGATCTTATCCATTTCTCCGTCTTTCTGCATAAGTATGACGATTTTCTCTTTCTCCGCGAAATTAAACTCTGCATCCTTTTTAATCAAGCTCGTCAGCGTTTGCGCAATCTCAGAATACTTCGGAATGAACTTACGGTAATACCCTCTCAGGCCAAGAAAACTCTGAACTTACTCGGGCCGTAGACAGAAACTCACACGCGGTTTTGGTCTTTCGCTCTGATAATTTGTCACGTATAATCTATGTATCATTCATGGATTCATTGGCATATACTTTACGAATCGGATGAATGGTTTTATTTAATATACTCTTTATATAATATACACGCGTTTATCGCTGCCAAATCTAAAATATTGAAAAAAACTTGAAGGGACCATCGGAAACTCCCTGCTTTCATACTATATTTACGTGCCATCTGGTCAACGACCTCCACATTAAACTTTGTTTTATTATAAAAAATAATGGTTTCTAGAACATGTTTATAATTGTCTTTTATTTGTACACCTGTAAGTTTGGTGCTTAGAAGGAGAACTTTTACGTTAGATTTACTTTTATATACAGTAAGTGTGCAGTTTCCTGATTTATATAAATGTGAGGAAAACAAAGTCATCTTGTCGTTTTTTCCTCGACTGGTTTTAGCAGTTCTCTTTTGTTAGACCGAATGGTACCAACCAAGATTGTTTTTTTTTTGCAAGCAATTTGTTAGCTAGCGGGATGCTTGTAAAGAAATTGTCTGTCGTTATATTTCTGTCTTGTTGTATATACATAGATATGGTTCGGCTAATTTTAATGTTACAAACTCTCCCAACGATTTTGAGCATCGAGTTCCATCTTTCCCCATATAAGGGAAACCATTCAAAATATATTTTGTTTGGACGTCAACTGCTAAGCAAAACTTAATGCCAAATTTATGAGATTTATTCAGCATATATTGCGTAAACCTGTATCGAGCTTTCGTTGGAAATAACTGTTCATTTATTGAGATATTTTCATATAGCTTGTAACAAGCATGGCTATTATATATCTGTTCCATGTTTCGGATATCAGCGCAAATTTATCTGTTTGTTATCTTTCGGATCGTTGATTTTTTTTTCAAAGCGTATGAATCTCAGAATTTCTGTAAATTTATCTCTGCTCATTGTATTTGCGAAGAAAGCGGATCCCCATTTTTTCGACCATAGAAAAAAAGCTTTCAATGATCTCGCTTCATATACACCCCGGCGTCCTACCCCCAAATCCGTCTGCTTTCAGTTTTATTCACAAATACAATTTCAATTTCACCCATTACATTTTGGGATGTGTTTGGAATGCTCATCCGCGCATCCTCAGAGTCAGAACTAGAAAGAATACGCATCCTTTTCTTGTTACGACACACTTTCAAGAAGTTTTCCTTTTCACTATCCGAAGATTTTTCTATCTCTCCACTTTTAATGGATTTAGAACTATCACTCTCATCTTCGCTTTGGCCCAATTCATATTGATCTTCTTCGGAAGTATCGTCACAATAATCTTCATTGATGTTGACAATTTTGTTCAATATTTTATTATATCTCCTGGATTTACTCATGATTCCTAAAAAAGGAGGATTGGTCAAAATAAAAACATACTGTGCCCAAATTCAATTACCCTATTGTAAATACTTACGATAAACGGAGACTGTCTACAATAAATGAAACTTTTGCACACTGTCTTTAAAAAACGTTCTTATTCTGTCAGTGTAACAATCATACTGAAGATCGCCTTTTGTTT